AAACAACAACTTTGCAGAATTTCATTCTGTTCTAGTTATTTTAATACATCGCTCAGTGGTATTAGCAATTTCTTATTTTTAAATAAGATGTATGTCATCATTTGATCTCCTCTCTCAAACTATTACACCAGCAAATTTATTAATTTTGTATTTTGTTTTGGGCAGCTGAAGCCTTTATTATTTATTAATATTTTATTTCCAAACAGTACTACATCTCTCAATAATAGCATGTATCTGAATCATATGCTTCTTAACATGCTTTTTACAAACTACTTATATTTAAACAACGGGTATTTAAGATCCTAACCTAAGTGCAAAAGATTATACACATACATTTAAACCTGTGTTTTGGAAACTGTAGTTTCATGCAAACCTCATGGGATCCAATTTTACAGATCTTGTCAGACATTAAGGGAACTATCAGTCCTTAAAAAAAAAAAAACAGATTTAATGTGTGTTAAATACTGTGTACCTTTACACCATCTCCAGTAAAAATGGTGTAGAGCAGGATTGAGGAACCTTTTTCAGGTCAGGGGCCGTTGACCCACAGAAAAAAAAACAGTCAGGGGCCACACACAAGTGAGAAGCCCCCCCCTCCCAAAAAAACCCCACATCTCACTGATGTGGCACCTAAACGAGAAGCAGACACTCCCCACATTCCCCTTACACAGCAGAGACTAGAAGAGGCCCAGCCTAGTAGATTTTCTATGCTCCAGCACTTCAGGGGGAGGGAAAGGTAGCAGGGGGGTTGGCGCATCACTGTGGGCTTTCCAATATTGGAGGGGAGGGGCCCTGAGCCTCGGGAACTAGATCCAGGCAAGCCGGTGGCTGCATCTGGCCCCTGCCTCCCCATCAGCACCACCTCCTGCCTGCACCACCCCCAAATGCCATGCTGCTGCTGCTGCTTCTGCTACGGAGGCAGCAGCGGAGGTGGGTGGGGGGGATATGAGTAACCATGAAGATTAACGATTTAACCATGTACACTAGTGATGATTGCTTCACACTTTTTCTTTACATACAATTTATAACACAACACTGTGTATTGTTTTTTCCTCCTTTCCCATAACTTTGTCAACCAGTTTCTGCTATTCATCAATGATTGCCCCTCAGAGTATGCTTTTTCCCCAAATTCATTTTTTCAGTCATGATCTTTTTTATTCTGTTTGTTGCCATTTGTCAAGTGGTAGATCAACATACACATACTCTAGTCCACATACAACTATATACTTTCTACTTTCTAGAAAAATAATCTAATCTTTCTTGCAAGATACACCATTTAATTTTTAATGTCAAAAAAAGATGAAGCACTATGAGATCCAAACTCAGCAGACATTCTCTTATTTCTATTGTCTTAGCATCCAGTATACATTTTCCAGACATACTGAAAATTTTTTTTTATGCTTTCCCACCACTCCTTCTCCATCACCTTTAATATGAACTGCAGTTACTCCTTTGTGGTGAATTCTTTTGATTATTAAATGCAACAAAGAATTATATCTTACTAATTTCACTAATACCACAAGAGGTTACATTAGAAGAAATTCTTAAAGCTTATAAATAAATGTCAGCAACTTTGGTGTACTATGCAATGCACAGACACAGGAAAAGACAGGTTGAAAATCACCAGGGCTCGACAAATCATGTAATCTACTCGCACATGGCGAGTAGATTACAAGCTGGCACAGCCAGTGCCGCGCGATCTTGCAGAACTGTGCAGCTGGTGAGCGGGGCTCCCCGCCGCTTGGCAAGTCCTGAAAATCACTACAGTGAAACCTTTGCTATCCGACACTCTGTTAACTAGAAAACTTTGTTAACCAGCATTGCCCTCAGCCACAATGCTGTCACATCTTCAGGCGCACAGGCCTGGCTTGGTGTACCATGGTTGGCTTAACAATTTTTTATTTAAGAAGTACTAATCATCTTTAACTCAAAATAGAAATGTGAGACCAACCGCCTCACGCTACAAAACTATCAATATTAAAAACCTGAGTTTTACTAATATTGTCCATTGTTTTTTCCTAGGTTGACGGGATCCTCAGATAATCGAAATTTTTAGATAACCGGAAAACCCTAATCCCTGAGCATGTCGGATAACACAGGTTTTACCGTATATTACAGTCTGTTCTATACTTTGATGAAAAGTTAGTTTGATGTAATCTGGCAGCACCAGGTCTACTTCTTCAAAAATAATACCTCTGTTTATTCTCTAATGGAGCAGGTAATATATCTCACTATAACTGAAATAATCTGAGGACTAAACTTTGAAAGCTTAATTGATCAGATTTTACAGAAAAGTCCTTCTCTGTGAGCTTCACACACTTTATTTCATATAATTCTAGAGCTGAGGATCATTCAATTTTGGAAATGGTCTGAGCCTTGTATACCATCTACCCCGGAAGTGTATACCATTTACTCCAGGAGTGGGCAATAATTTTGATGGGGGGGGGAGGGTAACTCCAAGACTTTGGAAAGTGGTCAAGGGCCACACTTTTCCATTATATTAATGGAGGAGGAGCGGGGCCTGGGATGGAGGTTGGGTGCAGAAGGGAGCTTGGGGTAATGTGGAGGAGGAGGTGTGGGATCTGGGAGGGAGTTCGGGTGAAGAGGGGTTTATGCCCTGGGGAACTAGACTGGAATGCAGGGGTTTGGGTTGTGACCTACGGCGGGGGGGAGGGGAGGGCTGTGATTTGGGACAGAGCGGGTTGGGGTGCCAGATCTAGGAGTTCATATGGGTGCAGGAGAAGGGGCAGAAGGTTTGGGTATGTGAAGTGGAGGGGCAGGAGTCGGGGGGGGCAGAGGGTTGGAGAAGGGATGAGTTGGGGTTCCAGAGGCATGCTCTGGCCAGGAGACTTACCTGTGAGACTACCAGCCAACTGCCCAGCTCGTTTCTCAGGCAGGCAGCCTGCCACACCTCCACACATGGTGCGGGGGCATGTGCGAGTGTGAATAACTATGAGCTAGAGGAGAAGGGCTGTGGTGCTTCATGGCTGCCTGTTATTTAAACAGGCAGCTCCCATTGGCCAGTTTCTGGCCAGAAACCAGACAATAGGATTGTGCTGGGGGCAGGGGCAGTGCCTAAATCCTTATTTCCTCCCCTCTGGGCTCACAGTTTTGAAAGAGAAATAGCCCGGCAGCTGCTTTTTTGAGAGGCATGCGGGTGTGGGGAGGCAAGTGGGTGGGGAGAGGCCAAAGCCTACTTGGGGCTCCCTGCAGCATCCACGGGCCAGATCTAGCAGCTTGACAGGCCAGATTTGGCCCACGGGCCTTATTTTGCCTAGGCTTAATCTACTGCATGCTGTGATCCTACCAAAAAAGGAGACACCTCCCATCCCCCCCACAGGAACATGGAAATTGTAATAATCAGGGCTCGACAAACAATACAATCTACTCGCCCGTGGCGAGTAGATTTCAGCCGCGCGCCCCGTTAATTTGCAGCACGCGCATGCGCATTGTGGCTCTTGCACATGCGCAGTATGGAGCTGGCGAGCAGTTTTCGCCACCGTTCGTCAAGCCCTGGTAATAATGGATCATACTTGTAACTCATCGAGTCCAGTGTCCTGTGTCAAACGGTGGCCAGCGCAGATGCTTCCGAGGAAGGTGCAAAAACCCCACAGTAGGCAGATGTGATATAATCTGCCCCACAGGTCTCTCTGATCCTAATCCCTAGCAGATCAAGACTGGTTTAAATCCTAAATAATTCCTTTAATATTCAACTGATAAAATAGTCAATGACAGACTACCAATGATTTATATCAGGACTACTCAACATGCAGCCCATGGTCCATTTGTTTGTGGCCTTCAGTGTGGTTTGGATTTATGCGAGACTCAACACGCACTCCGTGGATGGGAGTCAAAACAAAACAGTAGTCAATATAATGGTCTTTTGTAGATATGCGTTTTAGTAGTTAAATTCCTGTACTGTCATTGCTCATTAAGGCTACGTCTACACTATATGATTCTTGCGCAAGAAGCCTTTTGCGCAACAGTTTTTGCACAAAAACTTCTTGCGCAAGACCACAACCACACCTCAAAGTACATTGCAAAAGCGACATGCTTTTGCGCAAGAGAGCGTCCACACTGCATGGACGCTCTTGCGCAAGAAAGCTCATGGCCATTCACAGAATGGCCATCAGAGCACCTGTCCTTTTTTCATAAGGGTTTCTTGAGCAAGAAACCTCTATGGGAAAAAGGACAGGTATCTTGTGTAAGAAACCCCTCTGGAGCATCCACACCTGCCTTTTTGCACAATAGCTGAAGCTCAAAAGGGAGTTATGCCTCATAAAAGGAGGTTTACCTACAGCGGAAAATGCCCTCCCTTCTGCCGTTTTACTGTTCATTTACTTGTGCAAAAGCGCTTTTGAAGTGTGGATGCTCCACGGGTTATTGTGCAAAAACAGCTGGTTTTGTGCAAAACCTTGCAGTGTAGACGTAGCCTAAAAGTGCTGTCACGTGTGGAAATCTGGTAAATATTGAATGTTATTAATATCAGCAGAATTGACATAAATGGGCCTGTGTGTTGTGTAGTCTTGCCTTAATCTTTGTATTCATGCCCATCAGTATGAAAGAAGCTATTTGCATGTATATACAATCACACTTAAGTTGCAGCCCTTGGCATGTGCTGTGAGAATCATTGTGGCCCCTGGGGCTTCCAAAATTCAGTAGCCCTGATTTATATGAAAGGAACTTTGTGGTTTCAACTAACAATTATCAAAGCTTGTGAGTCACATTAGTGAAAATTAGATTTAGAATTTTGTCAAATAAATGCAACTCAAATATTCTTCTCCAAGAATTTCTGGAAATGTTTCACTAGTTCTTTCTCAATTATCACTGTGCTGACATCTTCAACATTTATATTAATATTTAAAGCATTGATATGTCACAAACTTATTTCATTAAGGTATCCTGCTCAACCATGTGGTTCTGAAACAACTACAATATTGTATCTTCCCTGGAGAATAACAGGTGTTTGTTTTCAGATCTAGCAGCCCCTACAGACTTACTTTTGTATTACAGTTTGTAAACTCAGCATCATACCCAGTTCACTTTTCATTTTTTCTCTGTTGGCACGGCATTCTGCCAAATACCGGAGAGCCTAAAAGAAAAGAAAGACAACAGTCATCAGAAGCTGCTTTTGTCATTTCATATTATTTCCTATTTCTGATATTTCACATAATTAACTATTTAACAATTTATAGTTTCTTAAAAAGAACAAGGTGCAGGATAATTAGAAAATGCAATTTTACTGCTCTAGCTACATCTAAAATACATTTGCCACATCTTTCCATGTGCAAACACAGAAGCAATTTCAAGAACAAGATTCCTCTTTAGAATATTAAGACAGTACCTGAAACAGAAGATTGCCACTACTATCCCCTCTTTTGAAGTATTAGAGCAAGTCTGAACATTGTAATAGATACGAAAACTTAAAATTTACACGTTAGATTTACAAATACAATAATATCCTTCTATAGGTTAGTTCCAAGAAAGAAAAATCCTTTTGAGATGCTAAAAGTTTGCATAAACTGAGTAGATGTTAGCATATAGTTGAATAAATGATTAACCAATAAACCTGAGCTTCTCGGTTAATCCTAACAACTACACACACTCCCCTCCCCCGCACCTCTGTGTTAGAGCACTGGATTCCGCAGAGCTGCCTGTCCCCTTTTTACCGCTATGCTGCTGCCTCCGACAGACAGCAGCGTGGAGGATGAGGGGGGCAGGCAGGAGCTGGTACATGTGGAGCTGCCTGCCCAACCTTGCCTCCCACAGATGCAGCAGGGGTAGGTAAGTAGAAGCCTCCTTGCAAGTATCAAAGGCAGCAGCATGGCGGGTGGGGAGGCAGCCCCACAGGATCTGGTGCTCGTAGAGAGCTGGCTTAAAAGCCGGCTACTCAGGGGCACCAGCTCCCATTCTCCTCCCTCCTGCCTTGCCCTTGCTGCCTCTGATACAGGAGACAGTGGAGGGGACGGGTGCACATGTATTCGACAGGATTAATCAATAAAACCAGGCTTATAATTTAATTGTGTAGTCGACCACACATTTGACATTCCTATCCTGCACCACCATTTAAATACTTCCAGAAGTCTATCTAAAACAGTCATTGGAATTAAAGACCCGAGGCACAGTATTTCCATGTTGAAAAAATGACAAAGCAATAGATTAATTGTTTTGCTTTTATTAACCTCTTCTTTGGCTCACCATTTAATATCAAAGATTTTTAGCTCAAAGCACTCCTTCTGTAATACTACTTAATTGGATACAAATGGGAGCAGCCGGATGCTCAGTCAGCTCTTTCAAAAATGAGGTCATTTAGGGCCTGATCCAATGCCCATTGAAGTAAGATGAAAGACTCTAGATGAATTTCACAGATCAGGCCCAATTCACCATGATACTTAAGGATGTGACAAATGTTAAGTACACCATTAGCCTAACTGAAGCTAGGTATACGTTTAAGTAACCTTCCTGATGTAGGAATTTACTTAGACTTTGACTACTCTACACTAACCCTCACTGTTCATCTAATCTACATGACTTCAACAATGTAAGCAGCTGAAATCGATGTACTTACCGCAGCACCTTATATATGCAGTAAGATCGGCAGGGACTGCTCTCCTGTGAACTCCAGCTACTCTTTTAGTCCTGGTGGAGTACTGGATTCAACAGGAGAGCACTCCGAGATCAATTTATTGCATCTAAGCAGACACAATAAATTGATGCCTGGTGGATCGATCACTACAGCCCTCAGTCAACTAAACGTTGGTTCAAATTTTGAAAATATGTTCAAAAGTGATTACACTCACCTAGTTAACTATCAAGTCCAATTTTTGTAAATGTAAAAATACGTTTAATACCTCATGGGTACCAGCAAGATTTCTGCTTCAAAATGGAGATGTTAAATTTAGTTGAATCAACTAATCGACTAGTCCACTGATTTTCCATTGACTAGTTGATAAGCGGGGGATCCTCTTCACTCTTGGCTCCCGGGATTTCAATAATATCTGCATGTATATACTTCTTCCATCTCAGGATATCAAAATCACTTTACAGATACTAACACATTAAATAAGCACACTACTCATTATGAGAAACTATAATACTCCCTTACCGCCCTCTTGTACTGTTTGCCACATCAGGTGCTAAGATTGTATTTGTATTAAAAACTTTTTAGTGACATAAAATCATTATCAGTTCATAAAGACGTTGCTTCAGAGTTAACAATAAAAAGTTCTTTAGACTTTTAATACATACATTTAGCGTGATTTTTTAAATACATTCAGGCCAAATTTTTGAAGAAGCAGAAACCTAAATTTATTATCTGCACGTGGAATGTTCAAAAGCTTTTAATGGGACTTGTGGTCTTATGTTACCTGTCTTCAAATTTCAAATCTTGATGGGAAAGCATAGCGTGTTGAAGCATTTCAGCTTTCTTTATGACTTATGGAAATTCACTGTATTTGAGGGTGACATTTGTTGCAAATATAACACACGCTAAATTTATCAATTTAAATACAGGCAGTCCTCGAGTTACGCGGATCCGACTTATGTCGGATCCGCAGTTACGAACGGGGTTTTTCTTGCCTAGGAGGACGGGAGCGGCGGGACGCCCAGATGCGCCGCGGTCCCACCGCCCGCGTCCTCCGGGGCGAGAAAAGCTGCTCCACGTCTCCCTTGTCTGCTGGGGGGGGGGATCCCCCCCCAGCAGACCAGGGAGACGCTGAGCAAAGCCGCAGAGCACGCGGGCAGCGGGACAGCCCAGACGCGCCGCGGCTGTCCCGCTGCCCGCGTGCTCCGCAGCTTTGCTCCCCATCTCCCGGGTCTGCTGGTCTCCAGCAGGTCTCTAGCAGGTATAAAGGGCTATAGTTAATTTGATTTCCGGTAACTTTTTTTCCCTAGTTTTCAAACCTTAAGCATTGATTTTGCTGTGACAAAACAGAGTGCTACTCTAAATTACTCGATTTTATCTCTTTTCAGTACTGTTTGAGAAGCAATCCTAATCCAGGTTCATCCTATTTTTGTGTCTCATCTTGGTTCAATTTCTTTCAACAGACACTCAGTTATGTCTATTTTGAGGACCATACTTGATCTGGTGAAACTTTGTCTTTTGTGTTTGGTTTAATGAGAAGCAGTTGCATTCCAGGCACATCCTGTTTTCCTGGCACAACCAAACCCTCACGTTGCTTTAAGTTATGATTAGAAGAAGCTGTATATTGAATTTGGTGCTCCTAGCTCTTTCTGTGTAAGAGAAGTTTTTGATCAGACAGACAAACTCTCTCTCTCTCTCTCTCTCTCTCGCTTCCTGTAGTCAGCCGCTGGTCAGTTTCAGCAGCGGCTGAATCTGGATGCCAGTTCCGACTTACATACAGATTCAACTTAAGAACAAACCTACAGTCCCTATCTTGTACGTAACCCGGGGACTGCCTGTATGTTCATATATTTTGTATTGAAGTTTGTGTAGTTTTTACAATAAGGACGTTAATGATGCTATGGACATTCTCCTTTTCTGAACAAATGAACTTTTAGAACGTGGAACTTCTTAGTAGAAAAAGAAATCTATGTATAATCTGAAACTCGTTAAGAAAATTTAAAAAACATGTATAAACCCCCATCAATTTTAAGAATGTCCAACTATGAAAATGGGGAGACAGGAATGTAGTAGAATGCCAAATATGTAATTGCATATTGGAATAACGTGCAGAGCAGCATACTTGCCTTGATTATTAGATTGAAGATTTGTATTGGGAGACATCAGAAACACTAGTTAATTGAGCTTTCTGATTAAGTGTTGGATAACATAGCTTTTACAGTATAATATGAATTAAAATATATGATTCTTTTAAAATCTTGATTTTTATCCACCCACTTCCAATCAAAAGAAAAGGCATTACATCAATGTAGATTTCAAGAGTCACTTTTATCATGAACCACAAGGAAAATCTTAAATGAAGTAATGCATACAGTTACGTGTAAAAAACTATATTATAGCTTCCCCCCGCATACCGAAAGTTAAAGGGTTAACTTCTGAAACACACACACACACACACACACACACACAGTAAATTAATCTATAATAACTTGTTCTCTGCCCAGGTCCATGAAGTATTTCAAAATGACTGTCGTTATTAATTGCTGAAATGGGTGTGGCAGAAAATTAAGCAGAACAGTGACAATAATTTGACATAAGGCTCACAAAGCAAATAAAAAGCCCACCGATTAAAAAAAAAAAAAAGGAGATCACTTACTAGTAATGCTGAATGAACAACTGGAGGATTGGGGTGATCCAAAAACAAAATAAGGCCTGGGAGACATCCCTGATCCTGAACGATGGCTCGTCTATTTAAGGGGTCAGCTGCCAGGTCTCGCAGCTGGTTAACTACTGCTAGTGCATCAGGCTCTTCATTCATAGTGGAGTTCATTTTCTTATGCCAACACCTGTTAAAAAAATCAATATTAATAACACTTTATTTTAATCAATCTCAGATTAAACTGTAGTCAATATAGAATACAACATTCTGCCTTGTACTTAGAGGCATACGGATAAATGGAATTCACAAAATGAGGGAAATTCACAAAATGTGAAGCTGGAAATTTAAGAGTCTATATAAAGAGAATGACAATTTTTGTTAGCTGTTTTATCTTCATGTACAATGTTTAGGCCTGACAATCTTTACAGAATATACATACAAAATAATTGATAAAAGTATTGTCAAATATTGCTCAGATCAATTACAGTCATAGATGACAAACTGGTTTATTAATGATGACGCTGTCTACAGAAACCAGAAACATGTCTCAATTCTGTATTATATCAAAAGTAAATCTGTAAAGAAATATACAGTTCAGGTATCCATAATACATTTTTTAAAGTGAAAGCTTCAACTTTCATATAAATCTCCTCACAAAGCACTCTAGCAAATTGTAAAGGAAAATCATGCCTCAGCAAAAACCATGTTGACTCTTCCCCAATAAATCACATGCATCTATGGTGGTGTCTGAAAATTCTGTTTTTTACTCTAGTTTCAAGCAGTTTTCAGACCAATGTTAGTTTCTGTGTGACAGTAGCTGTCACTAATATTTCCTTCACACAGATTGTTAGAGTGATGAACAGGTATTATTGACCTGCTTCAAGGTTATTCCCCCCCAAGAACACCATAAGATTGGTACAAGTCAAATAAGAAGCTAATATTTCATATAATTAGCATTTTACATTTGCAAAGCACTCTGCACACAATTTTCACAAAATCCCTGTAAACCAGGTAACTATTTTTGTTCCCTTTTTATAGGCACAGATACTTTAATTTACCTTAGACCAGACATCCAGTCAATAACAGACCTAAAGTTGTAACCAGAATGCTTTATGTCCAGTCTCATGCTCAAATCACAAGGTCATTCATTCCCTTTTATTGCGTACTACAAAATAATTATTTTATTTAACTAACTTCTGTTGATGACAGAGACAAGCTTTTGAGCATACACCACATTAATTATTTAGGTTTAGAAAACTAAGACCTGAAGGAATGCTCTTTATAAGCTCAAAAGTTTGTTTCTCACCAACAAAAACTGGTCCAATAAAAGACATTACCTCGCCCACTTGGTTTTTTTAAAAATTTACTGGGACCAAGACTACAACAAACCTGTATATGAATAATTCTGTTGTTTTTATACAATGTTTTTCTATTTAAAAAAAGGCAAAGCCATATTTCTACTTTTTTTATTGAAATAGAAAGAACTTGGGGATTAAGTTAGACAAATTGATTTGACATCAGAACTTCTAGATTATTTTCAAATCTTTGCCACGGATTTTTGAAATCTCAGAAAATAACTTAATCTTGCCTCTGTTTTATTATCTGCTGACATGGATATTACTGATCTCACATAGCAGAATGCATTAGTGTGTGTAAAGTGTTTTAAAATCCTCAGAATGCAGTGTTACTATTATTCATACACATGGAAAAACATCAGCTTCACGAACCCATCTCCTGACACTTCAAAAAAAACAACCTTGTAGCTGAAAGAATGTAGAAACTAGTAAGGTTGCTGCCGCACATAAACACGCAATTTACAAAAGGAGCAACAGATGACTTAATCCAGAATAACTCGGTTACTTTCTTCCCTCTTTGCTAGCGGGGGGAAATCCCTCCTCTAGGACTTGTACAGTTTGCTCTGGCTAACTCAGCAGCCCCCACCCCCACCGCTCCTCCCCTTAAGTTACAGAGTCTGGACCATGCTGCACCAAGGCCAACCCACCCCCTGCGGCGGTCACTCGCGCACCCCTTCCCGCCTGTAAAGTGCATGCCCGGGTCTCGCCGCTCCCGCCTCCGGCTGCCTCCTGAGCCGGCCCCCTCCGTGGGCAACCCCAATCCCCTCACCCCGCCCCCTCCTCAGCCTGACCCTTGTACCCTCCAGCGGCCTCACCCTCTGTTCAGGACCCGACGCGAGATCCAGCCTGGTCCCCCGGGCCACTTACCGCTGCAGGAAAGTTTCACAGGCCCGGGCGGCTCAGCATCGTGACTGGCCGGGCTTCGCGTCGCTGAGGCCTGGTAACGGGCGTCGGAGGGGGACAATAGGAGGGAAGAAAATTCAGATCCTCTACACACACAACCCCCACCGGGAGCACCTACCTCACCCCGATTGGCCGAAGCGAACAGCGCCCCTCCGCCATTCACAGCAAACGTTGTTCCACTACACACTGATTGGCCACTCCCACGGCATTGTGGGTAGAACAGCGTCAGGCCAGGGAAACTACACGGTCCAGAATGCCCCGCTTCCTTTGCCTGGCGCGCTCTGGCTGCTTCTGGAGAACAACATAATGGGATGTGTAGTCCCGGAAGGCTTTACTAGGATCACGGCATGTTCTGCGGGGCTGTTTCTTGGCTATTCGAGTCCAGCAGCGCCTTGCACTTTGCTGCCTGTTGTCCAAGCGCCTGGAATATTGTACTGTGGGATCCATAGTCTCTGTGAACTCTAGGAATATTGCATGCTGATACCTATAGTCTCCGCCTGCTCAAACCCCTGAGGTTTGACTAAGGCAGTTTGTATAAATGGATTTAATCTAGGCAGGAGTGGATTACTATGGATAACGCTGATGTACTTGGAGGTTGCTTATACTGCAGGGTTCTAGAGTGCTTCCACGAAAGTGACTTAATTGTGATCACAGCGGAGTTTTAAACTACAGTAGAAACAACATCCCTAGTTTCATAGAACCAATTCTGACACAAAGAATGCACTGGAAAAATAAACTATACCTGGTAATCTAGAATCGTCTTAGAGATGCAATGTGCAGAATTTACCTAATTTTAAGATCTGTCACTTTGTGGATCTAAGGCAAAATAATTTGATTAAAATTAACAACTAAACTGTCAACTAAACAAACCTATGCAGATGAATATGTGTTTCATTATCAATTTAGATTAACTTTAAAATTTAAATAATTTTACAAATCCTATTTACCTGTTTTGTTTACTTCTGCACTTCTCATACCTTGTACAATGAAGTTTCAAATTTGAAACTGACAAGAAACAATCAGGTCCTTCTCAGCTACAACCATTACAGAGGGATGTTAATTTTTAAACAACAGTTTGCATTTTGTTCTATTTTGGAAACATTTGTATTTTTTAGGTTTTAGAAAAGCTTGTTTTATCAGTATTAAAACTTTAAGCTAAGTTTAAATTGACTTTTTAATCCAGTATTAGCATGTTTCAAATCTTGGAAAGCTGAACACCTCTCCTCTTTTGAGAAAATGAAACCAATTATGTACTTTTGTAGGTGGTCATAATACTTTTATCTTTTTTACATGCTTTCTTGAGACATTAAATTAACAATATTGACATATAAAGTGTCACTGGCATCACCCTAAGTTAATACCCATTGAAAAGAATATGGCAGTCCACACCTCAGGACTTAAGGTGTTCTTCAATATCATATAGATATTTCTTCAATATCCACTTGACATTTTGAAAAAATTCCTTGCAACCCTGATAGTGACTATTCTTTTTAATAAAAGTTGGGATGCTGGACTAGAAAGGGATAGGTGTCTGTACCTCCTTCACTAGTCCTTCTCACTTTCTTCTGCCTCTGTCTCGGTAAGTATTACACTTTGAAAAACATTACTTTATTCATAGCTCAGTATGTTGAATTTAAGAATTCTAGCAATACTATTAAACTGCATTTTTTGTCTGAAGAGTGATGTTTGAACAGGGCAATTTACTCAATAACCAATGAAAGATGAGAGTAGGATAATTTGAAATGACAATTTTTCAATTTTTCAATTCAATTCAACTAAAATGGACAAAGAGTTGTCAGGGTTTCAGGATGAACTGTAGCTTTGATTCTCCTCCCCCCATCTTCCTCCAGAATACCTACTTAAGGTTTCAGGCTCCATCCAGCTATCATTTATCTCAGGAAAACACCCACATCTCTCCTCTTTGGTCTAGGGCTTTAGGCTGGCAGTGCTCTACATCTTACTGTGATTTCTGAAGCAGTTCTGACCAAGTTCCAGCACCTGTACTTAATCTTTTCTCAGGGGCTTCAACAATGTACACCAGTTACCAGCCAGCCTTTACAAAGCACTTACAGTCAAATCAATTTTAAGAAAACATACAAAAATCAGTAAACTGATTTAAACAAACTAAATATACCAGGAGTTATTAGCCTTATGGGGGCACAGAAGACCACAATCTTTCCAATCCTTCCCCTGTTCCCCAAGAGTTGCTCCCCTCCCTTGGAAATAATATTTCTTAGAGGAGCTGTCACTCTCCTGCCCTCCAGTTAAATAAGAACAAAAACATAAGAACGGCCATACTGGATCAGATCAAAGGTCCATCTAGCTCAGTATCCTGTCGGCCAACAGTGGCCAATATCAGATGCCCCACAGGAAAGGAACACAACAGGTAATCCTCATGTGATCCCTCTCCTGTCACCCATTTTCCAGACAGGGACACCATTCCTACCCATCCTGGCTAATAATCTATCTAGGTCTGTTGTCATTGCATCATAATAACACAAGAGAGATACTTTGATGGACTTAAACAATTCTCTGATTTTTTAAACAATAAGTATCCTTCTGCCACACTGGAAACCCAAACACAGCAGCACCCAGCGCTGGAGGAGACCCAACGGCATCCCCATCCAGCGCAGGCACAGATCTCACGGGTAGACCCAGGCTGACGTACGCGGCAAGACCCGTGTGTCCGCGGGGAGCTCTGTGCCACCCTCTCTCGGGGTTTGGTTTGCCCCGGCCGCCCGCACCGGACCAGCATGTCAGCAGCCTGGACGATTTCCAATAGGGCCCGCGCGCACGCTGAACGGCCAATCAGGGCTTGCCGGGCCGCGCAGGCGACATCATCACCGGATTGGCCGTTGGCAGGCGCCCTTCGCAAGACCCGTGTGTCCGCGGGGAGCTCTGTGCCACCCTCTCTCGGGGTTTGGTTTGCCCCGGCCGCCCGCACCGGACCAGCATGTCAGCAGCCTGGACGATTTCCAATAGGGCCCGCGCGCACGCTGAACGGCCAATCAGGGCTTGCCGGGCCGCGCAGGCGACATCATCACCGGATTGGCCGTTGGCAGGCGCCCTTCAATCACTGGCGCGAACGGGGCGGGGCAGACCCGAGTTGGGGTGCTGGCGGTTAGGGCGCGGGGCGCC